AATGTAATGTTAAATTTTCATGGAAAAATTCAAATATTAAAAAAGAAAAGCTTAATTGTATTCTTATCTTTTTTGTGCTGTGTCCATTCAGGGCATAGACAATCATAGCCCTCTACATCTTCTTGTCCCTTGTACTTTATTTTATAAAAGTTTTATCTTTTTATTTCACACAAATCCTGCTCTGCCATCCATTTTCTCAAGCCCATCAAGTTACACACTGCTTTCCTCTGTCCATCTCTCCCTAAATCTGTCCCATGAGTATCAGATTTTCCAAGCCCTCCTTCCTCATTACATGACCCAAAGATTTTAACTGCCTCTTCCTAATGTTAGGTATAAGTTTCTTTCTGGTTTCCATTATCTCCAAAACTTTGTTTTTGATCAAAAGAGTTTATAAATTTCAAATAAAGGTAGTACTACTTGGTATTGCTCAGCATTTTGGTTTATTAGTTGTATTTTAAGACGTGTTGTTTTAGACGAGACAGGCATTAATTTTCATTTTATCAATAGCATACATAGAAAAAACTAAATCACAACAGATGCTTACACATTGTATATAAAATACAATTGATGACTTATCAATTAATACCGATTTTTGTCAAATTTTATAACTATGTCCCAGCAGTAAAAGGTTAATCTTCAAGTTATAGACAGGCACTATAATGTGGATTGGTTTACTTATCAATTAATGCCACATATTTTAGTAAAATATTTTCATAAAAATATTTAAGAAAGAAAAGAAAATATTTTATTCAAAGCTTGATTTTCAAGCCAAAAACCTTTTCAGTAAAAAGATTTGTGAGAATGAAATTTATTAATGCTGAAAAGGGACTATTTTATACTGTTGTTTACTCAATAGAAGACCCAAGAGCCACCCAGAATAGAGGGTTACTGAATGAGATTGTTGTAGGGGCATACAAGGAAGGAGCAAGACATGAATATTTTGAGGATATATAGAATAGATAACGGTTGATCCTACACTTAAAATGTTAAGAATGTTGTGATCAGGGAAACAACCTATTTGGAGCCTGTTCCACAATGTAAAGGTTCTAGAGAAGAACCTGTCTGGAATATCTTACCAGTGGAATATGAAGGAAATGAGGATGAGTCAACTCTGTATATGTGGCATGGCTGTAGATGTCTGGACTGGTCTAACCAAGGAATGTACCTCCTCTGAACACCTGCCATAAAAGTAACAATAGAGTATCAAGAGGCTAGCAACAGTTCATCTGTGGGAATGGGGTCATGGGTCATAGGGAGAAAAATAATTCATCACCCACAAGGATGCATAAAAGCTGTTGAACTCTGTTACGGTTGGAAAGAAAGTGAGGATAGTACAACTCCAACCCAGCAATATGCATTTTTGGTTTGATCTGGCTCTTGCAAAGATAAAGAATGGCAAAAGGTCTTTTCTAGAGTGGTACCAGGAACTGACTATTTTTCCAGCATCTTCAGTGATGGATCAAATATACAAGTCCCGCTTGCTGTCTGGAATGAGAGTGAATCACAAAAGTTGTTCTGCAATCTTGACATAGCAGGGTAATTTTGGCATGAGGTTGTAGAGTTGTATGTTAGGAAGTCTCAGTAATGTTAATGATAATATTAGCTTTTTCTTTATGCTGAAACATTTGGCATTTATTTACTAAGCAGTACTACTTTCATTTGAAATTTATAAACTCTTTTTTATAAAACATTTTTTCAGGACAACAGCTTTCTTAAATCCAATAGCTGTTACCACTCTTTCCAGTATTGATGGGAGTTTCCTTCCTAGCCTTTTATCTGAAGTAGTGTGGAAGATCAACATTTTGATTATGTCATTATTTTCTCTTCAAATTATATGTGATATCAATTTTTGTTGTTGCTGTTGTTGAAAGTCCTTAAAGGAAGAGAAATAAAGATAAAAGTATTGTCAGGTTAGTCAGATGATGAAGATGATTTCCCAGACAATATAAATGTCTTGCTTTAGAAAGGTAAAATAAAATGGAAAAAATGGGAATCAATCCATTTTTAGAATGCCTGCTGTAAATATAGCAAAGAAATTACAAGAAATAAGTATTCTTTTTTCCCGCTTAATCTCTCAAAGCTATCTGCCTCCAAACAAATCTTTTTTAGCTTCATCTAATATATCAATAACCCTTTAATTCCTTGTCTTTCTTCCAAGAATGTTTCTTTTTAAAATGTCAAGTCTAGGTTTTCATTCTTTTTTATTCATTGAAATTTTATATTTTTTTTATCTTTCTGTTACATTTTAGAAATTCTCATTCTTTGGATACTTTTCTTCTTTTACTGTACTGTTTCAAATTTTCACCTAATTCTTTCTTTATAGGTTTTAGTTTTGGAGATGTATATATATATATGAGATAACGATATGTAAGTTTTGATATATCAAGAATGATATTGGGGAAAAAATCTAATTTAAATTGGCTAGATTATATATAAAAGAAACAAAGATGTAAAATTCTCAGCTCACCTCGTTTGTTCACATGTGTAGTTGCATCAACATAACAAATTTATTCCGACGAAATCCTAAAGGATGAAATGTGTCACACAAAAACTTTTTCCACTTTATCACACACACACACACACACTTTTTCTCATTAGGAGTGGGTAGGTTTCTTTATTGTCCAGTTCGCAGACTTTTGAACTGGGCTCAAGATTTATCGTTTGTTTCCTGTTTAGGATTGGGTTTCTGGTTCCTTCTAAAATCTTTTCATTCTCTTTCACACCCAATAGCCCTTTGTGTCTTAGTGGCATTATCACTTTGCTTGGGCTGGATTAAATAAATATATATATATATATATATATATATATATATATATATATATATATATATATATATTACCCTGTTTTTGTAACTTGCAGTTACATTTGGACACACAGTATATTTTTGGTCAGTCACAGAATTGTCAGGAGGTGGAAAAGGACAAGAAACAGGAAAGGACAAACCAGCTAAATATAAGTATCTTTTATATATTGCATTTTTGCATATTGCACACTATATATTTTTATATTTAACATTGAATGTATATATATATATATATATATATATATATATATATATATATATTTCTCTGATTTAACCAGTAGAGAAGACAATTTTTATGAATAAAAATGACAATAGGAAAACTGATAATTGTTGATGCGTTTCATCCAATGTGGACTTTATCAAAGCAAAATACGAAAAAATAATATTTTGCTTTGATAATGTCCACATTGGACAAAACGCATCAGCAATTACCAGTTTTCCTATTGTCATTTTTATTTATAAATATAAATATATATAAACAGATAACTAAAATTTTCTTATTTTTGCTTTGCTATTGGGAAAAGGGGTTAAATGACACATGATCATTTTTCCAAATGATGTATGATATTCAAAAAATCATCAAATATGATTGGTTAATTGCTGTCATTCTTTCAACCACCATTTTATCAATTTATTCCTCTATTTCAATTCAATCAGCAGCTTACCATTTTCACAACACTGAATTTAAATTTCACAAAATCAGTGTTTCTTATATGATTCTCAGCCAGCTAAGCATTTTAATTATCAATGCAAAACCTGAAATTAAACTCAAGGTTGTGAGAGGAAAAACTCTTCAACCTTACTAAATTCCAAAAATAATCAAAATTAAAAGTTAAATAATTTTAGCTGAATCAATCAAAACTGGATATTTTTAATTGCTACTTGTGGGATAATTTACATTATATTTCATCATATTAGGTTGAGTCATAAGTGATTTCTGTTTTGGGGAACCAATGGTAATGACAAATATATCACCCTAAATATTCATTTTAATAGCAATAAATTTGAATTACACTAGCATGTAATAATGTTCAATGTACTAGACAGTGGATTAAAAAGGATAAATCTTTATCACAAAAACTAATCCTCTATGGAAGAAAAGTAACAATTTGTGTGTGTGTGTGTGACTTGCTGGGACATTATTCATTTAAAACAGAATGCAACACTACATGCACATTTATACATCCAGCAGTTGCAATGTGCTGATAAAAGTTTGGTTAATAAGTGCCCTGTGCTTGGTCTGTTCTGCCCCACCAACCATATTTACTTGGCATTGCACCAAATGATTATAACCTTTTTCAATCATTGCAAAACATTTGAATTGGGAAAACCTGCTTGAATGAAATCCAGATTCAAGAATTTGTTTAAAACTTCTTCACATCAAAAACTATGGAAAGGTATCAAAGAGCAGCTAGATAGGGGGCAATGCATTATTGCAAATAATGGTGAATATATAATTGAATAAAAATTGTAATTTATTTTTTGAAGAATAAAGTTGATCAACAAAAATGGAAATTAATTATAACTTTATTGATTTTATGATCATTTCTTTTTAATTAAATTGAATCTAAAATGAGTCATGTTGGGGGGAAGTATTGTTTCTATTCATTTAAGCAAATTGATATTTGTTAAACTATACAGTATAATGTTAGCGTCAGCAAGCAAACTTTGACCCCAGAAGCCCCAAGTCTAAATGATTCATAGGTTCAGCTTTGTGAAGAATAAAAATAGGAAGCCATCAACTTACTCAATACCTTCATAAGTAGATACTTTGCCAATCACTACAATCTTAACCTGTTCAAGTCTAGAGTTAACTTTTATCTTCACAACATATCTAAATAAATTGTACCTCTTACTCTGTAACCCTCTACCTTGATTGTCTTTGGGGTCATGTACAGAGCAAACATCATTGTAAAAAATATAGCTAACTAGAAAAGGTTTCATATTCAGAATTCTTTTTATTGAATATTGGAGAAGGTTTTGAATATATTGAGTGATATAATGAGTGATTGATTTGTTTTCTATGGCTTATCAATCTTACTAATTAACCAATAGGTAGGGGAGAAACAGATTCATATCTTTATCAAGGGCATTGTATGTAAGTGAATATAACGAACCCAACTGGAATTGGAATTCAGTTCTTCGATTAACAATTCTAAGTCATTATCCAGTACACCACCTGCATATCAAAGCTTAGAGCACCTGGTATTCTCATGTGGTCACCCATCTAGATACTAATGTGGTTCAATGCTGCTTAACTTCAGTGATCATAATAGAACTGGTGTTTCAATGCTACATGGCTGCAAACCTTTCATGCTATGTTTCTTCAGGGTGTAAGTAATCATGACTCCTCACAGATTACATTTTTATTAGCTGTAAATTGCCAGGACTTCCTGGGAAAGATATTGGGGCAAAGTTCAAGATATAAAGCCACAAAAAAACACAAAATGCCACAAGGACATTTTTTTTTCTTGACACCTGTTATTATTGTATAAGCCATTTAGCATTTTTATTGCTTTAAAAAGATAATTTTAATAAAACCTAAAAAATATTAAACTGGAGTTATACATTTTCTTTCTTTTTAAAAACTGACAATAAAAATATTAAACACTTGCTACCATATCTGGTCTGGTGTTTCTGCTAGGTATCTCGATATTCCTGATAGAATCAAAAAAGAATCTGCCATGTTATTGGTCCTGTCCTGGCATATTGGCTTCAGTCACTTTCTTACCACCTTCCTATATTTTCCATGTAAATACTTTCAAATATAATTGTTCTGGTGATATTTCCCCTTTCATATCTTCACATCATGTATTTAAAGTTCAGTACAAGATTGCATGTGCATTGAGGTGTAATGCATATCAGCTTGAGAAATTGGAGAGCCGAGTTCAAATTCCAGTTGGGTTTGTTACATTTACTTATGTGCATATACCCTTGGAAAAGGTATAAATCCATCTATTCTCCTCCAGCTAGGGGTTTAACAGAAAGACATGCTGGGATCTATACACTTGGTTGGCAACCAGTCTATTGCAGAAAGAAACAGCAACGTACCGCTGGACAACCTCTGCTTAGTCAGTCATGAATCAAATGAGACATGATTGCCCAAATGTGTAGATGCATATGAGACTCAACTGATTGACAAGATTGGTAGCTAAATCTCAAAATTTTACTGTTGAAATTATCAGACAGAAATAAATTCTATGTTAATAGTTTCTTTTCTTGCACTTTTCATTTCTGGAACTCACTTCTAACTTTTTGCTTTCCTGTCAAGTACAATCTTCAATAATTTAAATGTGGTGTCAGCTGTCATCTTCTGATTCCTTGAATACCTGTTCTTTTATTGTCCTCTGCCTCTCTCTACCCAATATTGTCTAAGTTTTTGATTCTCTGTAACCCCTTGTGTGTTAGTGGCTTTATTAAATTGTTTGGAGTGAAATAATAAAAATAGATTGTTTATTGACAAGAATAACCTTATATTTACAAGATTAAAAATATTTGAGAACCAACTACAATGAAGTTAAGAAATACACATGAAAACATTTTATATTCATCATAAAGCTGTAGCCTTTGTCTGTTTGTTATCAAACGCCTCCTAGGTTTTTGGAAATAGACCTCCATAACCACATATATTCTGAAACTACATTGCCCAGGGTACTTGGATAAGTATATTACATTTTGATCAAAAGAGGTACCGGGAGGGGGGATCAATAAATCACCAATCAGTGCCTTACAATACATATTTGTTGTAACAATTCAACTGTCATATCAGTATTGAAAATCTGCTCATCAATCCATTCAATCAAGTATCAAAGGGGTCAGATCAAGCTGTTTCTGCACCCCACAACCACTGAAAAATTTTTTTCTCTTTCATTTAAGTTAAATTTAAATTTGAACAAGGGAATGACTCCTATCCAAAATATAGAAGGAGAAAGCGGCAAGATCATTGAGTAATACGGAAATGCATTATTTTTCTCCATAAATCATAACAATGATTTAAAATTAATCATTTTCTTACAAAAAAATGTGTGACCCACAGCAAGGTGTAAATAATTTGGCAAGTAAATTTATAAAAATATCTGTGAACTATTGAACAAAAAAAATTTAAATAAACACATAATGACAAGTAACTGTATGTGTCCTTTTAGTAACCCTTTTCTTTAAAGCTTCCCCTTATCTCATATGTTCAGACTGTGGTATTCTCAATATTTTTTGGTAGAACATTTCTTTTCGTTCAAGTCTTTTCTTGCCCATATTCTCTGTTATATAGGAGATATTACACAGTGAGATATTTTCTTTGTTTCTAATGATATATATATATATATATATATTTATTCGTATCACCCCATGTGAGGCAGTAAAGTCACTAAGACCCAAGGCGTTATTGAGTGTGAAAGAATAAGAAAAAAGAGAAACATTATTAAGGAGCAAGAACAATAGAAGAGTAATCAGGATGTCAGTAAATAACTATTGATACTGCATTTAGATTTTTGAGGATCAATGATGGCTGGAATGAATAGAACTGGAAGAGAGTTCCCCAGGTGACAAGTATGAAAACTGAAACTATTTGCATAGAACTAACGGTTATATCTAGCCAGTTCAACTGCAAATTGATGAAACCTTGCTGTCAAACTAGTACTATACTTAAATTCATGAAGTCTAGGTTCCATAGTGAAGAGTCTGAATAGTTACCATGAAAGTATTTATAGAAAGGAAACCTACATTACAGTGGTGAGAAAATGACTGAAGCTGAGATGCCAGGTCAGGACCAATATTATTGTTGATCCTTTTTTTGATATTATCAAGAA